CTCCGGCCCCGGGCGCCCCGGCGTGTGCGGGACCGGCCGGCTGCGGGCTCGGATGCGGCGTGGAAAGGTTTCGTCCCCTTGGGTGGTGTTAGGAACCCTCTCCTTGAGCCAGATTTAAACGATCAAGCACAACATGGCTTGGCAGAACTTAATGAAGCAGGGTGAGGAGGATTGCTGCAGACTCCCGTTGGCCGGCTGCTTTTCAACTACCTGTATCTTCCTTCACAGAAAGACCCAAATTACCCGATAATTATACTCAGGATACCTGGCAAAAACTTAATGAAGCGGTGGGAGCGATACAAAGTAGCATTTCTATTAAATACAACCTTGAAGAGCTCTACCAGGTAAGGCATGTAGGGTTGGTTTGGTTTTGTTTAATAGAAGGAAAATTAACTGCTTTGGGACTTGCACAGATTTAACATAATGTGTTTTGATTTGTTAAAAGCTGGTTAAATTTTCTGAACTGTTCACTCCACACTCTGTTTCTAGTCAGCTTGCAGTTTTATGTATCAGTTCGTTGGAGAGCTACCAGGATCTGGGCCCATGAAAAAGCAGTTTATGTTGGGAGACATGGAAAGCTGTGCCTGGGCAGGGCTGAGATTTAAGTCTCGGTCTCCTCAATACAGTGCCTACTCAAGATGCTGAACATGGCATGTTACTTTTGCTGGGTTATGCAGATACATATTTCATGATAATTTCTCTTTTGTGCATGCTTTGGTTTCTTGTGAAAATTAATGTTGAAATATTTATTATTATTGGGTAATAACAGACTTTAACATCAATACCCTTTGGGGAATTAAAAAATAATCTTGGTTGAGCAGGCAACAAACGGTCAGTTTACCTGTGGTTCAGATTATTGTTACATTTTCATAACATTCAGGATCTTAAATTTTTTTATTAAAAAGTTGAAAAAGTATTTCTGGAACATTTAGACTACTGGACCAGAGGGTAGGGAGGGTATAAGAAAGAAATACTTATGAACCATTTCTTCCTTTCTACTTTCTCCATTTATATATGCTTTAGTTCTATATTATTTTAAATGCATGTGCTTTGAGATATTTAACTGAAGTAATAATTTTTTACAGTGATCATGTTATTAAAAAGTACCGATGCGCAAAGTTGTGCTACATAGCTCAAGGTAGTTATGAGTTTTTGGTGAGTGCATGTGTTTGATCTGCAGATGTAGATCTCATTGCCAGATCAGGGCTTAAGACTTTATTATGCTCACCTAAAAATTTTGAAGTGTTCAGATGAGGTAGGTTTGATGTCTGCCAAGTGCAGACTCTGAGAAAAGAGAAAGCCAGTGGTCCATTGGGTCCATGGTCAAGAAAATCGGGATGAATTTGAGAGGTGACTATACTTGTCCCCGTGATTAGTTACGGTATATAATAGATGGGTCTAAAATGGCTGATTGTGTAAATGCATATTGACTTCATATAATTTATTCCTTTTAAATAGATAATATGACTGTGGTGTATTAATCTATTAATACTTGCAGGTTTGCAGATTTTGAATTACATAATAAATTTTATGGTTTTAAATCAGCATATGAAAAATCCTGCATTTTCATGCCTAGCTAAAAAAAAAACCACCCCCCAAAAAATCCCACAGATGCTTTGAGCATTACCTAACTTGTTTTCAGAGGCTCAGAAATGAGATTATAGTAATATGGGTATGAAATCGCCAGGGTAGAGACTTGCGTTTTGACAGAAGAGGAGGAGATTTCAGATAAGCTCTGAAGGGAGAACTGTACTTCTTGTTTTTTCTGTTTGCCTGCTTATTTGTAAAATAACTGGCAAGGCCAGTCCGATAGTCTGTAAGGCAGTGGTGCAGATCAGCAAGGTTTCTGCACAGTGGGTTGTGGCAGCCAGCGTGGCTGCACATAGGTAGGTACTTACTCTCCTGCCAGAGGAATAAAAGATGAAGTTCAGCATCCCTCGGAAACCTGATCTGTACTTATAGATCATTTTAACTGCCTGTTGGTCAGCACTGACAGGGGAAAATTTCTCTGTGTGCATCAGTTCCTACTATGAGGGTTGGGTTTTTTTTTGTTTTGGGGTTGGTTGGGGTTTTTTTGAGTCTTTATCTGATGTTATAGGAGGAAGTGAGAGGCCTGCTAGAGTTCAGTGTGGTGAGCGGGCTGGTGTACCAGCCCACCTTTGAACTTTCTGATTTATTTATTTTATTTGGCACGTTGGCTGAGGAAAAACGGAAGAACAATGACAAGGCTTTGTGGGAAGCCTGAAGGATACTCCTTTCCAGGCATTAGAGGCAGCATGGGATCAAGCATGAAGGTGCTTGGCAGAGACATAGTCAGTGAGCAATGAGAGGGTGGCAGCCAATTTTTTGTGACTAAAATAGAAATGATATCTGGGATTGGTGGTAGATTGCACAGATTTTCATAGAAGTAGCTTATACTTGATGGTATAGAGAAAGTGGGGCAGTGCAAAGAACTGCCGAGTGAGGAGCGAGTGATAAAAATAATGTAAAAAGAAAATTCCCTTTGCAGCAAAGTCCTAAATAACCTGAAATGGGGCAGCACTGTCCTTCTGGAGGACACAGAATAGGATGGTGTAGTAGTGAAGGCAAAAGAATGATGAGACTCATGACCAGACTTTTTTTGGGATGGATGGGTAGGAAGGGCCATGTCATGGAAACGTAACAAACTATCTGCAAAATGATTATGTGTGAGTACTGCTGGCTGCAGATGTCATTTTACTTACCTGTTTTAGGACCAGGTGAAAAACATAACATAGGCACTGCGTGATGGTTTTGTTTGCTTTCTTGCTTTAATATCAGTATCAAAACTGATGAAGCCATAGTTTATGTGTATTTAAATAGAATGTCACTGGGTAGGTTAGAATTACTCCATGGGGAGATCTCTGAGAAACAAATTCACTCTGTGTTTTGGAAGATAAACTATTCAGAATGTTGGAACCTATAGAGGAAATAATACAAAAAGTAGCAACAATTTGCATGCTAAACTCTAAAAGGGAAGACTCTGCTCAAAACAAGCCATTAAAAGAGTGATTTGAAAGAGAACTTTCACTAGATTTGTGTAGGTGAAGAGTCTAAAAGTGTTGTCTTTCTCATATCCTTCTAGATGTGATAATTACTACAGCTTTTTTCCAGACTAATTGTGTGCAATCAAATTTCTTCAGAAAGAGAGACAGCAAAACCTCTGAATGAAAAAAAAATTGTGAAGAAGGAGGAAATTACTGGGTCTCATGCCATCCCATCAAAAAAAGCAGAAACAGCTGGTTGTGGGGGCATGGGTGATACAGCTGCAGTTTGAAATACACTTTGAACCAGCACCGCTGCCAAAAGAAGCAACCCCACTTTCCCCCTCTTGGGGGTCTCTCTCTTGGCCCTCTTGCTAGCCCGTGTGTTTAGGTGGTCTTAAACTGAAACAGAGCAAACAACGTTTTGACAAAGAGTTACTTGCTGGCATTGGGCACTGTAATGTTTTATATTACAAAGAAATAAAACACACACACACAAAAAAAGCTGAAATTTGGAAAAAAAACTGAGTAAAGGCCAAGCAGTGGGAAAATTCTGAAACTTTGTTCATTGATGCTGTCAGAAAATTTGTCAACAAAATATAACACTATAAATCCTCTGGAGAAAAGGAAAATGTTCTTGGGTCAATTTTAGTTGCCCAGGTGAGATAGTGCTTTAGATCTTAGGCAATGTTTTCTGCAGTATCACCTCACAGCCTAAGGGCATTTGAGGTAAAGTTAAAGGAAGAGACGGCAGGATTTTTATTCCTGAAAAATTCCTGAAAATTGTGGACAGCAGGCTGGCCATGATCCAGCAGTGTGCCCTGGTGGCCAGGAAGGCCAACAGTATCCTGGTGGGCATTAAAAAGAGCGTGGCCAGCAGGTCAAGGGAGGTTCTCCTCCCCCTCTACTCTGCCCTGGTGAGGCCACATCTGGAATACTGCGTCCAGTTCTGGGCTCCTCAGTTCAAGAGGGACAGGGATCTTCTGGAGAGAGCCCCGTGGAGGGCCACAAAGATGATGAGGGGCCTGGAGCATCTGCCTTACGAGGAGAGGCTGAGAGAGCTGGGACTCTTCAGCCTGGAGAAGAGAAGATTGAGAGGGGACTTTATCAATGTCTATAAATACCTGAAGTGCAGGGCCCAAATGGATGGGGCCGGGCTCTTTTCAGTGGTGACTGGTGACAGGACAAGGGGCAATGGGCAAAAATTGGAACACTGGATGTTCCAGACAAACCTAAGGAAAAACTTTACTGTGAGGGTGACAGAGCACTGGGACAGGCTGCCCAGAGAGGTTGTGGAGTCTCCATCTCTGGAGATGTTCAAAACCCACCCAGACACTTTCCTGTGCAACCTGGTGTAGGGA